TGTGCAGTTCAGGGGTGTCAGAGCCTGTTTTGAGTCTGGCCCATAGTCTCACAAGCCTGGTGTCAGCTTTAATCACCCCCATTCCATTCCATCCTTGGGCTACCATCGCAGACCTAGGTGCAGGGACCAGATGGCAGCAGGAGGAGGAGGAGGAAGAGGAGGAGGAGGTCCGGGTGGCCTCCCCAGTCACAGGGAGGACACGTCCATCCGCTCACTGTTGCTCAGCCTGGCTCCACCGCCAACTACTCCTAATGACTCTTCAACAAACACACAACAATCTGTCTTCAGGAAAATCAGTGAATAAATTTAATTTAAAAATACTTCTCTATTTCTGGACAGGCACTGCTCTGCTCCAGCTACTTCAGAATCAGCTGAAGCCTTCACAGTACCCAATACCCAGACTGCACAAGGCTGTAATGGCAAAACACAGCACTCAACCCTCCATGAGCTCAATAAACAGCCCCTAACCCCTCTTCTTATGGACGTGTAGATGGCTTTTATCTGCCAGACGATGTGTATGTACCTCGTGAAGGGAAAAAAGAAAAAGAAAGCCTAAAACACCCAGCTGTCAGTGGGTCTGTCCCTCTGTGTGCCCCTCAGGGACTGTGGGGCAGGCACTGGGAGAAGGGAGGTGGTGGCCACTGGCTGCTGCCCATCATGGGTGACCAGACATTGGTTTGAGAGAGGGAAAATTTTAGGGAGCCTTTTGCTCTGCTGGCTGCAGGTCCCCACACTCTGCAGATCCCTGCAGAGTCACGCTGGCCTAATTATATTTTGAAGCAAATGCAACATATTTACTAAATGTACCAGGTTCTGCCCATCGGCACCAGCCGTGTGTGCAGACACCACCACAGCAGCTGCTTCGCAGGGCTGAGGGGCACTCCCGCCGGACCACTGAGCCTGTGCCAGGGGAACGCTCCCCTCCTGGCCCTCGGGGTGGGGTCCAGAGGCACAGGCAGGTCCTGCCATTCACCCCCTTCAGCAGCAGCACTGGGCGTCGTGTTTGTGGGTGGGTGGGGAGGACAGGCTGCCAGCTCAGATCTATAATCTGTAGCAGCTTGTAAGAGGCACCCCCTCTCCCTGCCCTCCAGGAGCTAAAAACAGCCTGAAAGGTCCCTCTTCCCCCAAGAAGGAGGCATGTGGCATCCACTTGCACGGTGCAGAGTGGCAAAGGCTTTTTATACTCCCTGAAAGTGCTGCCGTGGTGTGCCCTGTCACGGCACACGTGGCCCCAGCTGTGGCAGCACTGCAGCGGTCACTGAACAACAGCCGAGTGCCCCTGCAGTGCTCGGGGGGCAGGGGGTTGGCTGGTGACACCAGGCACTGGGTTGGATGGTGGGATGTAGGATGGGGTGAGGAGGATGGTCCGGAGCACGAGACAAAGGTCAATGGAGAGAAGCTCCTCTCAGTTGTTCACACTCTTCCGCATTTAATTTCTAGCAGAGAGCCCAGAGGGACCCAGAGGGACTCAGAGGTAAGAGCCACCCCATGACTGCTGCCAAAGGGACTTCTTGGAAGCCCATCACCAGACCCATGGGATGTTGGTCCTGCTGGAGAGCCCTCTGGCACAGGCAGCATGCAGGGAGTCAGCCCGAGGACATGGCATCCTGAGGGTGCAACAATCTCACTGGAGTCCCTCCCTGGAAAGAGTGGAGACACGTTTGGAGCAGGGTTTGGAGCGAGGTGATGGGAGAGACTGAGGCTCCCACAGGCACTTGTGACACAGCCTGCAGAAAACCAACTTCACACTTCCTGCCATGGCACATCTTACCAAGCCTCCATGCTCTCAGCAGTGACAGGGTTCAGTTTCCATTACACAATGTGTGTGGATGAAACCAGCCTTTTCCTCCAAGGAGCCATGGACCAGTTCCCAAGGCCGGGCACACTCAGCCTGTCCCCCCCACTGACGTTGTTCAGGTGGAAAGGAGCACACACCGGACAGCACAGCTCCTGTGAGATGATGGGTACAAAGTGTGTTCTCTTTGGGATCCGTTGGAGTTCTTTTCTGAGTGCACAATGGAGCTGGGGGAAGCCAAAAGTGGGGAACTCCCAGGGGAGACGTGTGCAGCCGCCTGATGTGGAAGCAAGGACATGCACATCACTCTCAACATTGTTTTGCAGTTTCCAGCTCTATGATAAACCTCTTGGATTAAACGACTCTTGCAAGACATATTTCAGCATTTCCATCCCTTCAGTAACAGGCATCCCTTCCCTGGGAAGCCACAGAGGGCTCCTGCAGACCAGCAGGGCCAGGACAGCAGCCAGCCATGCCCAGGCAGGAGCCCTGCCTGCGGCCCGAGAGCAGCGTCCTCCAGACCAGGCATCCCGCTGCATCCAGCCCTGAGTTAATTACAGCGTCAGCATCAAACAGAGACTGTTGAAATGAAAGGGAAGGATGAGCAGCTTTCTAGCTCTGCCTTTATTTTTTAACCCCAATTATGAGATGCGTTGGAAGGGAGAGGCGATGGCAGATAATGGTCTGAGTGTGAAATGGAGAGCCAGGAAAGCCTCACATCCTGATCCCAAATTGGACACTGTGGCCTCATCTCCTAGTTTCCTCCATGTAAAGTGGTGGTGGGATGCTTAGCCCGAGGGGCATTCCACAGATGAATGAGCTTTTGGGAAGTGCTCTGAACATTTGATGTGTTATATAAGTGTGTTAGCACAGGTAGCTTTTGTATTGCAGCAGAACCAGAGACTGCAGCCCAGATCGGAGTCTCGCTTGGCTGTTGTGGCAGTTCAGAAACTCCTGGTTGGAAAAGCCCCTGTCCCCGCCTGGGCGATGCACACCCTGTGGAGAGAGGAGACAGAGTTGGTGCCAGACTCAGGGGAGCTTGTACAGAGCATATCCCTGATGGCATTCCCAAGAGATGGAGAGCACAGGGGGCTTCCTGCAGACACCGATATCACTGACGACCCTTGAGAAGCCCCAGATCCCCAATTCCCTGGACCCCTGGAATGTGCTCAGCACCACAGAATCCCCTGGCCTAGGTCCTCCTGAGGCACCCACAGAGCAACTGGATGCTCCGACTGTGGCTGGTGATGGGAATTCACCAGGAACTGTGCACTGCACTGTGCAGGTGCATCCCCCAGGCAGACCCTCAGTCCCACCCATTGCTGTGAAAGTGCAGCTAACACTGACTGGCCCCTAAAGTTCAGGAAAGCTGAAGGACTAAACAGATCTGATCAGAGATGAGCAAGAGTTGGTGTGCAGAGAACCAGCCAGCTGGCTTCCTTTCCAGCACCCACCCACTGCAGGATACTTCATAATTCTGCTTCCTTTCTAATCAGATGAAAATACAACCTGAGTGCTAATCACAGGGCACAAATAGGGAAGAATATGTAAAAAAGAAAAATAACCTTCAAAACCTTTGTTTTCAATAAAGTTTATGGCACGCATTGCATTTACAACCTCCGGCGGACGAGCTGATCTTGTTTGCAGCATCACTCATTAAACAGTGTGCACCCAGCACACATCACCATATGACAGACTACAAAGAAGCACCAAAGCAAAAGGAAACTTGAGATGAAACAGAGTGAGGTCATTGGTTCCTGGCATATCCTGAAGATGTTTGTCAACAGTTTAATTTATCCAAATGGCTACTCTATTAAAGAAAGAAAAGAAAAACTTTGTTTTGGCAAAATCATGATCTGGGGGGGAGAACTTTTGGAAAGACACATTAACCCTTTCCACACCCTACTTCTGAAGGATCCTGAGAGGAGGGCAGGGTGTTATCTGGTGGCGTTACCTGAGAGATTGTTGGATTTACACTCCTCCTCTAGTATTAGTAGCACTTGTAGGTTGTAAACACACAATTGAGATGCGACAGGGTTTGTAAGCAAAACTGTCTCGGACCTTTGCTGCATCTCCTGCACTCCTTAAGCAATCCATCGGTATGTGCGAGCTGGCAGACCTGAGATAGGAATCCAGCTGATAAAAGGAATGCAAATCACAGATATCATGAGATGTCCCCTGGCCTCCCGTGCCACAGCCAGGGGCTTGCTGGGGCAAGAAGGTCCCCCTCAGACACCACAGGGCTGTTGCTGGGCTCAGGTCTCACTGCAGCACAGGGACACCCTTCCTGCAGGGGCCATTTGTGGACGCCCCAGCACGGAGCCCATCGCCAACTGGCCTGGGAGTGGTAACAACAGGAACTGCTGGAGCCCAGGTGACAGCACCAAAAGTCATGCAGAGGTCAGCCTGTCCCTGGTAACCAGCACAGTGTCCGGTTCCCCCCTTGCCCAACAGAGTGGTTGCTGTTGAGGTGAGCATCCGTCAGACAGAGCAGCTGGAGCAGTCAATCCCTGTTTAGAGTGCCAGGTACAGGAACTGTGTCTGGATCGGATCTGGCACATGCTGCTCCCCCCAGCAGGACTGTGCCAGCTCCTGGTGCAAGGGCTCCCTTTGGCCCCTCGGTGGGTGCAGGACATCCCCTCCCATCTGTGCTGCAGGGCCATGCAGCCGCTGCAAGCCCAGGCTTGAACCCCGCCATAGTGAGTGCCCTGGACTCAGCCAGCACAGCCGGGGAGCAGAACAGGTTGAGCCACTTCAGGCTGTGGGAGGAATAATCCTCCTTGGTTGATTCAGTGAGCTGAGGCAGCCAAACCGGGCGAGGACGACACCGCAGAGCGCCCCGCGGCCCCGCCAGGTACCCCCACAGAGTGGCTGCGCCTGGAGGACTTTTTATAGAACTGCTGTCAAAACGAGCACGGAGCGAGCTAAATTGGGACTATCTGACAGCCGAGGCGGCGTGTAGGTGTGCGAGGGATGTGAGCAGCGAGCGGCGGCGAAGAGCCGGAGCCGAGCATAAACAGGTCCGGTCTGATGTTTATCGGGGACTCTCATCTCCTGAGCTGGTGAATTTTTTACCGCCGTGTCAGTTCTGATGTGCCGAGCAGGAGCTCTGCAGCCAGCCCTGTGCACAGCGTCAGGGGAGCGTGCCCGGCCTGCTGCAGCTCCCCATCCCAGCTCCGGGATCTTCTGCCCGGGGAGCACGACCTGGGGCTCCTGCCCCCGGCACCACCCCAGACCCGTCCCCTCGCGCCAACTGAGTCACAAGTGACTCATTTCAAACTGGGATGCGAGCGCAGCGTGTGAGTTTGCAGATTGGCTGGTGAGGAACAGCTCTGCGATGTAGGTGGCTGCGTTACACACTCCAGCAGTGGAGCTCTGCTCCGCGCTCCCTCCTCCCTCGCCCTCCGAGCAGGATAGCTGCTGGAGCCCAGGATCTGGTTCTTGCAGGCACAGGGAGGCATCTCAGCCAGCTCCAGTGGATGTGGGGTGTGGATGGCTCCAGCTCCGCTCCTGACGGAGTTCTGCACTGAAGATGGATGACTTGGCTCTCCTTGACCTGTTGGAGTGTCCTGTGTGCTTCGAAAAGCTCGACGCCACGGCAAAGGTGCTGCCGTGCCAGCACACTTTCTGCAAGCCCTGTCTGCAAAGGATCCTGAAATCCCAGAAGGAGCTACGGTGCCCTGAGTGCAGGACCCTCGTCCTGTGCAGCATCGAGCAGCTCCCCTCCAACCTGCTCCTCATTCGCCTCCTGGATGGAGTCAGGTGTGGACAAACCGTCACCAGGTTTGGCTCGATCCAGAGGTCAGGGGTCCTGTCCTCCCCCGCCTCCATCAGGAGAATCCCCAGGGGGCTGCAGCTGCATCAGCACCGCCTGGCAACGAATCCCAGGATCCACATGGAAGGGGTAAGCAAGGTTGATATTCTTTACTCTGTCTGTGAGCATAGAAAGGTTCCTGCTGTGTGCCCAGAGCCAGGAACCTTCCCTGTTAGCAGCACTGCAGAGTGCTTGAAATGAGAGCAAGTGTTTTGTTTGCAAATCTGGCTGGTGTTTCCGTGTGATATTTGACTGTTTCAAGTTCATTGCAGCAGGAATTGAATTGACTCCCAGGCTGAGACAAAGCCAGCTTGCCTTTCTCCTTACAAAAACTTCCCAGCAGCTGTTTTCCCACAGAGTTTTCAGGTGCTTCCTGGCTTTTGAGGGTATTTCAGGCACTTTGACTTTTGGGCAATACACTGCTTTTGACTGATAGCAATTAAGTCAGTAATTGCAGAGCTGTAACTGTTAGTGGTGGAGAAAGTATTTCCCATCACTGCACCTCAGTTTCCCCCGCACTGGAAAGGAATGAGCCTGCCCAATGATGCTGCTGATCCTGCCAAAGTACTTGGAGGTTCACTAGTTAAAAATACCAAATTTGACGCACTCACTGACTGTACCTAAGGATGAGTTACTAGGCTAATTTTAAAATTCAAAGTTCTTTCTGTCATTTTCTTTAACAGTACAAAAGCTTTTCTTGAATAATGAGGACATGATATTAGACCTGTTAAAGGAGCTTGGCTCAGATGGAATTTGGGGTAGAGACTTGTGGCTTCAGCTTTCCTGCATTATATTCCTGGGCTTCCATTTCTCCCACCTGAAGTATTCTTCTGTACAATGTCTCTACAAACCTTTTCATGGCACATAAAATCTTAGCTGAAAGGGCTGTTGCATCCCAGAGCATTGGGCAGAACTGCAGAGCTGTAAATGTCTGGCAGGCACAGGACAGGTGTCCTCCCCTGCATTGTGTTGTCCTCCCCGGTGTCCTGGAGCCGTGCACACGTGCGGGTGTTGCTGGGGGAGGCCCTGTGTCCTGTGGCCACGAGCTGGCACGCCTGTCCCAGGAAATCTCTGTGGTGCTGATAAGGGTCTTGGATGGATCACACACCAAAACCAGGCATCCCTGCAGAGCTCCTCTCTCGGGTGTTCCCACTGGACCGTGTGGCAGTGCAGCCCTGAGCCACGGGCTCCGGGTCCCTTTCCCAGGAGCGCTGCCTGGCCACATCATAGCCAGGGGTAGGGGGTAGGGATGGGTGGGCAACATGGCCCAGCCCGGAGCGTTCTGCTGCAGCACCGGGAGGTGCCTGGGGGCCAGGTGGGAGAGAGAGCGAGTCCTTGGGCTGCCGACTGATCAGCGGGAGCCCCCATGTGGGGACCCTACTCTGTCCACATGGACACTGCTCTGACCATGGGGACCCTGCTCTGTCCACATGGACACTGCTCTGACCACGGGGACCCTGCTCTGTCCACATGGACACTGCTCTGACCGCGGGGACCCTTCTCAGTCCACAGGGACACTGCTCTGACCATGGGGACGCTGCTCTGTCCACATGGACACTGCTCTGACCGTGGGGACCTTGCTCTGTCCACATGGACACTGCTCTGACCGTGGGGACCCTGCTCCATCCGCAGGGCTGCGGCGAAGCAACACCCTTGCTGGGAGCCACCAGCTCTCCAGGGAAGCTGTGGGAGCTGCTGGTGCCGTTCGTGCGAGGTACAAACCATCCAACAGTGACAGGTTTCAGTCACTGCTATCCCAGGCTGGCATTCCAACTGTCAAGGAGGTTATAGTTTTTCCAACTGGACTCCCCTGGATAGAAAAGCACAAGTACTCTCCTCTGGTTTTCTTTTCTCTCACTCGTTTCATGTTTCTTTTACTGGTTCTCAGGGTAGGTAGGTACTTGCTGCTGATACATAATGTCAACATCCATCAGTCTGCAGCTCCCACAAGTTTTCAAGACAAGTTTTAGGACCAAACTCCTGGGAATCAGCAGAGACAGCGAGTGGTGGGGTAGCGGGGGCTGCAGCTGGTTCCCTGGCACTCTGAGCTCCTGTGCCTCTCTGGGAAGCGACATAAAACACATTACACTGAAATGCTCTTAGACTTAATTAGTTACTTAATTATAAAACACTTTGTAATCCTCAGCTGCAAGGTGAAGAATGCAATGTATTAGTCACGTTTTGGTTTTGGTGGTTTTAAATACCTGCATTCAGAACCAGCCGTTATTTGGGTGCTCCAGTGGGATTTGGAGCCTCCCCTGTGCTGGCACCTGGTCACAGCAGGGACATGTTTGCCTGTGAAGTGCAAAGACGAGACACTGATGAGGGTGACTTGCCATCACCCTACACCATGGAGTGCTTGAGTTCCAGGGTATTCACCTGAAGGAATCTGGGTAAGCAGAGGCCTCCAGATGATGTGAACTTCAGAGTAGATGCTTTTTGTCAGGAATCACAGCGAGAGCAGCTACTGTGCAGTCCTGCTCATCCCACCATGGTGCTCCCTGGGTACTCGGAATTGCAGTGTCCGTGTTCTACTGCAGTGGAAGGTTGTGTGCTCCCCAAAAACAGACTGCCCTAATCTGCAAAGGCTGTTAATTACTCCTAATGCTATTCAACACCTTGTGCTACAGAGCAAACACAATTGACATGCCCCACGTTGTACTGTAGCCAGAGCTGCCATCCAACACGGGATATGGGCTGGGGTTTGTTTTTACCAAGGCTGTTCTATAAATAAACTTCCTTTACTCCCTGGAGCTGAGAAAATCACAAGTTTGATCAAAGTTTCTCTCTCAGCAGAGATGTTTCCTTGCCAGCTCTTTGCTCTTCATCCCCTAAGCATCCGTGAAGGCAAAAAGTAATATAAATCCCTCCTCACCCAGCAAGCCAAGAGCTCCTCTCACTCTGAGCAGAATAAGTGAGCAGGCCCCCGCGGGGCTGCTGGATTAGCACAAACACAGCACTCTGTTTTTAGCCAGGAATTTCCCGAGCCAGTTGTTAAAATACAGGGAATTTTCTAATTACAGCCCATCCCAAGCTATTTATTTGCTGGCATTTAAATCCCTTTTGAATCCACTTCCTATGAGCTACCGTGGGGTGGGCACGTGCTGGGTTTGTGCACGTGGGCCCGGCCGCGCATATCCACAGCCAGGTTGTGCCAGATCCTGCACAGCCTCCGTGGAGCAGCCACTCCAGCAGTGCAGCCCTGAGCACCTGGCTCTGCCCTAAGCCCCCAGCACCGCCCTGCAGCTGCTCCCGGCACCTCAGGCCAGGCCTTCAGATCTTTAACATCAATGCAGAGAGGACAAGACTTTGGATTTTCAGGATCTTCACGTAATAAACTGTCTGGAATTTAAGAATAAAAGGATCTGCTGGGAGGTATATGCGTAAATAAGCCACGCCGAAGCCTTTGAACTCTTAGGAACCGCCCCTGGCATGTGCCAGGTGTGGTTAAGGCTTGTGCAGAAGCTCCTCCTCAGCCGGCTGCAGCCCCGCTGCGAGCGGAGCGCAGCTCTGCCGCTGGCGAGCAAGCAGACCGTGTGTGCTGAGGTGTGCAGGAACCAATTCTGATGGGGTGGATGACCCAACTGCACCCTGCACACGGCAAAACTCCGTCCAGGCCACTAAACAGCTACTTGGGCGCTGAACTTTGTCATGCAACAAACATGGGACAGTGAGCTAGAGGAGAAAAATTCCGAATATGACAGCTTGCCTTGGGAAAACACAGACCACGCAGATTTAACTGTGACTTGGGCTATTTTATCTTTGCATGAACTGAGTGCTTAACACCCCCCTCCAGCATTTCATGGGAGATAGACAGATAACACCTCTATTGGGATAAAAATACTCCGCACTCCAACGTCCCACCTTCACACGGACGTCTATAGATAGTGCCTGCATCTTGGTATTTTCTTCTCCTCCAGAATCATCTCCAGCTCCTTTCTAGATTTGACAGACAGCACTTGGATTGCTGGAGCTTCTTGAAGTCTTCTTCAAAGCAACCTCCATACTTGCACCCACCAGAGGCAAACGCATTTCCTGGCCCACTCACTGAGCCAACCCCCCTTCTCACCCTCCCAAAACCCCCAGCACTTCCCATACAGTCATGGCAATGACCTCAAAACGTGTCACATCCCCTTGAGCTGGACAACCACTGCAGGGACCTCACAAACTCAGGGATGCTGTCCAGGCCCAGCTCTGCCTGAAGTGGTGGTGCTGGCTCCTTTCATGCCAGAGACAGGGAGCATCCTCTTGCTCCACAGCTGCTGGGGGTGGCAGGTGTGCACCATGGGGCCCCTCAGCTGGACACGGAGACACTTCATTTGGCTACAAAATTTTGTGTGGCCTTTTGGCCTTTCTGGAGAAAGGGCTTGTCCCAACTCTCCTCCACCATCACTGTTGCCTCATTCTAGCAGAATGAGGAGCTGCTCCTGCAGTTCTGGTGGCACCTTGTGCAGGACACTGGTGTATGTCTTTTGTCCATTTGCATGTAGTTTTAGCACTTTTATTTACTGCAAAGAGAGTGGGGTCACCTCAGTATAGACTGATGGACAACACACCCCCTAAAAGCTGTGTGTGCAACAGTCTGGGCGTGGGGCACTCCTGGGTGGTACCAGAGGTGGTGGAAAGCCAAAGGACCTCCATGACCAACAGCAGGAGCCAGTTTCCCTGGTTTTACAAAATTAGGTACCAAGCTGCAAACACATAAAAGTGTTTTAATTTGTTTCCAAGGCAATGAGTCAGGCTCAGATGGCGAGTCAGGAATAGCACAGCAGGGCTGGCTCCTCTGCGAGCTCACCTGCACAGTGCCGTGGTCAGCCAGGAGTCTCAAAGTCTGAGTCCTCCTTTTCTCACAGCTGCCCTGCTGGTCCCTGGCTACTGTCCCTGGGCCCATGGAGTTGTCACTGGCCTGAGTTTGTCATTTTCCCTCTGGAGAGAAGGGAGAGGAGGAGGCAGATTCCCGTACAGCTCTGCAGTGTGCCAGGGCTGGATGTAGCAGGTGTCCTGACAGAGGTGAGGGCCCTCCCTGCTGCCAGCACTGCCTTGGCTTGCAGAGTGCCTGGGCCTGGTGCCCATGGGCAGAGGTGGCTGTG